GCTTGAGCCCAGGAGTTTGAGGTTGCTGTGAGCCAGGCTGACGCCACATCACTCACTCTAGCCCGGGCAACAAAAGCAAGACTCTGTCTCAAAAAAAAAACCAAAAAACAATAAAAATATCTTTATTTCACCTTCACTCTTGAAAGACATTTTCACTGGATATAGAATTTTGTTTGCCATTTTTTTCTTTTCAGCACTTTAAAGATATTTCACTGGTTTTTTGGTCTCTGTGCTTTCTGGTGAGCAATCTGTAATCTCTAAACATTCATCATCTGTATGATTTTTTTCATTTTATTTTGACTGCTTTCGAGATTTTCTCTTAATTTTTGGCTTTCAGCCATTTGGCTGTTTTGTGTCAAATCATGGTTTACTTTGCATCTATTCTGTTTGACATTTTCTGAACTGAATTTGTAAATTCAATTTTCAAATTCTTATCTTTTTCCAAATTTGAGAAAATTTCAGCCATTATTACTTCAAACCTTTATTTTTTTTCATCATTCTCTCTCTTCTCTCATTCTGGGGTTCCAGTGACACGTATATTAGAACTTTTTAAAACTTATTTTCTAGTTTTATTTTTGATTGATAATAATTGTACATATTTTGGGGGCAGGTAGTGATATTTTGATACATAAAATGTATAGTGATCAGATCAAGGTAATTACCATATCCATCATCTGAAACATATATCGTTGAGAACATTCAATATCCTCTCTTATGGCTATTTGGAAATATATATTATTTTCAACTATGGTCTTCCAACAGTGCTATAAAACACTACAACTTATTCCTCCTAACTGGCTGTAGTTGTGTGTCCTTTAACAAATCTGTCCCTATCTCCCTCTTCTCCATACCCTTTGCAGCTTCTAGTAAACTTTGTTATACTTTTTAATTCTATGAGATCAACTTTTCTTAGCTTTTCCATTTGACTGAGAACATGCAGTTATTAAACCTTTTGATATTGTGCATTGGTCCCTCAGGCTTTATTAATTACTTTCAATCCTTTTTTTCCTCCTTCAGGCTAGGAATACTTTCTATTGACCCATTTTCAAATGCACTGACCCTTTGATCTGTCATCTCAATTACACTATTTAGCCCACCCAGTAATTTTTTTCTTTCAGATATTTTTCAGATCTAAAATTTCCATTTTTAAATATTTTCTATTTCTATCCTGAGATTGCCAATATATTTGTGCTTTACGAGCTTACTTTTCTTTACATCATTGAGCAGAACTGTAACAGCTGCTTTTTGTCTCATCATTGGAACATGTGGATCATGTTGAGGTTGGTTGGCCTCAGCTCCTGAGAACTGGTCAGTTTCCTGGTTCTTCCTGTGTCGAGTAACACTTCAGCTGATATACAAAAAATAGTTATTTCCATTTTTTAAAAATTATTTTTAAAGTTATTTGTTTACAAAGAACTGTATCTATTGGAATTTATGTTTGACTACAAGGAGAATAGCATCAATAAGAAAAATATATATCCTTGTAATTATGATTTTGAACTTAGTATTAATATATTTCTTGTGCCATGACAAACCAATGTCCTACAAACCACATAAATTAGGGAATGATTATTATCATTTTAAAAGAGACTTTTTACTTTACAAAAGGTTGTATGGTAGAGTTCATAAATTATGTGGGAGGACTTTCAGGCATCTTAAAGACTAGTAGAACCTTTGCTTCTAATTAAATCCCAAGCTAAAGCCCAGTGCTTGTACCCTCCCAGACCTGCCCATAGAAGCCACTGACATCCATAAGTTTGGATGCTCTCAGCCCTCCTGCTGGGTTCTTTTTCACAATCCTTAGGGCTGCAAGTAGCACAATTTGAAATCAATTTAAGATGCCTTTCTTTACAAAGAAACCACTTAGAAAGTTTTAGGCCATCTGTCATGTCAAGCAGTTAGCCCATAAGAAAGAAAAATACAATGAAAGGGAAAGTAATGAATTATAAAAGGGTTTCCTTTAACTTCATTTTTGATGTCATATGTGAGGCCTGTGGGTGTCCACTGATGCTATTTATTTGTCCTCTTTAAGTACTGTTTATCAGAGGACACAACCCTCATTGTTGATTTTTCAGATATTTTAACACCTATATGCATACAGTAAATGTTTTTCATTGCACATTCTCTGATTTTAAAACAATGTCTTTTGAAATTCAGGGAGTTCAATAGATATTACCTCAGAATCCTATTAATTTTTACATTTTCTACAATTTGTCTTCCTATTTTTATGAGCAGTTTCTCAATGTGAGTTGCAGTAGATAGCTATTTTAGAATCCCTATTCCCTGGCAGAGCTGAGAATGGAACCTAAATTTCTAAAATTTTCAGTCTTGATTCCTAGATTCATTGGTTTTATTTAATAGTCTCAATAGATTTCAACAGTGAAAATCTTAGTAACCGTGATGACTGACACAGAGAAAGTGCTAGCTACACAGTGGTCTAAAAATGTATTTTATAGCCAGTTCTTATTCTGATGTTACTAAAACTGAATGTGTGATGCGCAAAGGAATAAAGAAAGACACAGCTTGGGAGGAGAGGGAATGGGTCCAACTTCTCCCCTTTAAACTCACCCCTCCATTGTGAAAATAGCCTCAGGACACTGAGGACCACCCTGGTGCTGGTTCCGGAGTCTCTGTCTTTCTCCTTCTTACCTAAGCTGTTATGTTTTAAGTGCCACAAATCCCTTCTTTTAAGAGAAATTCATGTTGTACTGAAATTCTTTCTACTGGCTTCATGTCATATACAGCAGTGGTCCCCAACCTTTTTTGCACCAGGGACCGTTTTCATGGATTTC